TTTATAAGTAACTGAAAACTACACAAATGTCAGGACATGTCAGAATCTCTTCAGGGCTCCAAAACACCTTCAGACTCCCAAGGGTTAATTTAGTAAGAGCATTTTGTATGGATGGTGAGGGTCAGTGCATTTTTTCTGAATTAACTCTTGATATGATTTTTAGGTGACGTTAAATAATCTGGGGTACTGGGATACTGCAATTATTAGTTTCTCTTCCATGTTGTTACATGGTTTGGTTTCTATGTGGCCAAACCTACCCGTCACAAACCAAAGATTATATCTGATTGGATGCCGCTTTGCTAGAGGTCCAGAACTAGGTCAAAGTTCAAATGATTTTGATTTTGACATAGAACGGCGCAAAAACGTTGCCACTTGCAGTGGACGGCGCCTAAGACATCACCAACATTAAATATGGTAATAAAATACATTATACAGCACTGTATTCTCTCAAATGAAAGGGACATTTTAACCTAATTCTCAATAGACGATAGCGTAATAAGAATATGCCATGTATCAAAGGATGATGAAGTAATGAAAATTATGCTTTTTATACCCCTCAAAGGATGAAGGAACAATGAAAAAGCATACCGTTATACATTTCACTTTTCTTTGGACCGTGATAAACGTGGATAACAAACCACTGAAACCACAGATACAGGGGGGATACTGTACATTGCACTACTACAGAAACAGCCCACAATGTTATATTAGCAAGGACTTACTGCTAAGCAGAATTTAATAGAGTTAAATGGCAGCTATTTACCCAGAGCAGATGTGGCCTCCTCAAATATGTTCACATTTGTCGCAAGACCTGACGAACTGCAAGGATATTGAAAAGGACAACAGATTAACAAGAAGCTGGTGAGTGTGTGTGTGGAGGGGGAGGGGGTAGTAACCTTTTCTGTCCTACAAAAAATTTAATTAAAAAACTGATGGCAGAACTATGACAAATGCAGGACAGCAGCCTAGATGTCGGTCAAGCTGCTGACCTTTGAACACTGAAGTGCAGCCAAACGTCTTGGCAAATTTTCTATTGCAAGGTAAATGAACATGATCCAGCAGATCTTACCTTATTATAATAATAATAATAACAACAATGTAGTACTACAAAACCATGTTGAAGACAATACAACTAAAGATGTAATATTTAAAATAAAAAAAAATAAATAAATAAAAAGACAGTTACCTGACAGGAGAAGTTGCGGGGGCTGCACTGGCTGGGGGCTTCTCTTCGCTGGTCTTTTCCTCTTGGTCAGCATTGTCAGGGGGGCTCTCGGCAGTGCTGGGGGACGCTGGCGTGGGAGTCAAACTGCTGTGGGAGCTGGAGCCCGCAGTTGTGGTGGCAGAGGATGGCTGGGTAGTGGAGGGTGCGGCTTTAGGCTGCAGAGGAAGACAGAGCTGCAGATCACACTCTAGAGGGAGCTCTCCCATCTCACCCAGAGCAACGGTTTTAATACACATGTAACTACTCTATGCTACAGCTCTTCATCCATTTCCCAACCCAGTCTATGGGGACCCACAGATGGTCCACATTTTTGCTCCCTCCACGACTGAAAGGGAGCAAAGACGTGGACTGTCTGCAGGTCCCTGAGGAGCAGATTAAGAAACACACTTCTCTAAACTAATAACAAACCATTTCCTCAGACAGAAAATGTTCTAGAGGCAGTCTATTACGATCAACACAAGTTATCTGTCTGCCTCGTGTCTGAGACCAGAACTCAACCACAAAGGAACAACCAGTTTAACCTCCATTCCTCCAAAATGTTTAGTTTCTGGAAGCGTGATGCAGGGCACCCCCCTAGGTATCTGGTTTGGGATTCATAAACCCCTCCCAAAAACCGTTTGGTAAATTCTACCCCAATCCCCGTCTTGCTCTCCTTGCAAACTGTGTGTTGACTCTTCTGTTCAATACTGCTGCTACAATGAAAGAAGCAAAAGCCAATGAACTGGTTAAGATAACAGCTTGCCGTGCACAATGTACTAAGTGTTCAACCAGCTGTACACTTCTCTACCATGTACATTAGGGGTGCAATGATTATTCGACATTGTCGACAAAACTCAACAATAAAAATAGTCGCAGACGAATTTGATTGTCGATAATTGTCGCCAGACGTATTTTTAAACGGATTGAGACGTTTTCCTTCCTTTCTACCTGTATAACACTACCGCTTTCCAATAGACTGCACCAATACACCACACTGGTGAGATTCGCTCTTGCGCAATAGCATTCAGTGACAGGTAGAAGAATGGCGGCCACAAATCAGGCATCATCGTGTATTAAACGCTCAAGTCTGGGACACATGGATTAAAGTTTTCTGGATTTCCGTCAACTGGTTAATAATGAGATTCATGTAGATTCAGGACAGTGGCTCCAATGTCGCAAGTGCTGCAAGAGCTTATGCTCCATTAAAAATAAATAAATAACAGCAGTTTTGAAGGCTTGCTGTTAACAGAGTACTGGCAATGGGAAGCTGCTCTAAATTTCCCGTATTTTGGGTCGGGATCTTGGGATTTTTCAGGTTGCTTTAAAATTAGTTTATAAATATAGGCTATATAAATAGCTGATATGACAAGAAATTACCATGTATTTTAACCTCTATACCGCAAATGAAGTACGAATTAGCATATATAGGTTAAAATGCATGATAATTTATTGTCATAGCGCAAATGCACATAAAATACGTACGCATTTGCACTGTCACAGAAATGGATTGCCGCACGTATCGCTTTTAAAGGTGAATGCGTACTTAAACACCAGTTATATGCAGCCCTGATTATAACAAAGATTGTATCAGAAATTCGGATTTGTATCGGTGCCGATCCAGACATATATGACGGACCGGGTATCGGCCATGTGTGACCAATCCACGTCCTATACTTACTTATTTAGTTTTTGGCAATCTCAAAAAAGATAGATTTAACACGAAATAGGAGCTATGTGCACAATTGAACGACAGCTCTTTCCCATTTTATATGTTTTTTTGCGGCATTCAAGTCGAACAATAACCTCATGCTAAATGAAAAAGCTGGTAGCTAAATAGGAGCCATTTTATAATTATGCAATTTATAATCCGATTAGTCGACTAATCGATAGTCGATGACTAGTCGACTATCAAAATAGTCTTTAGTTGCAGCCCTAATGTACATATGCCTGCATTTACACTCTACCTGGCAGCCACTTTGGACAAATCACTAGGTGCAGTAAATGTCATATTGTGCATTGCAACAGATGCTAAATGATAATGGTCCTAGGTACTACAGCATCCTTCATGCAGTACTGTCAGGAAGACACTATGATTAGGAAAGTACTCTGAAATAACCTGTCGGAACATTCTCACATCTGACTATTCCATCTCTGAATGGCAGAAAAATCTTTCTAAAATCTCCAATCAATACCCACCATTAGACAACATATTACCATGCTGCACTAAGGACACCCCATCCTCATTGACCCAACATTACCCCCCCCCCTCCAAATCTTTGTTACACACAGGTTACACAAAAGCTAAATACTGACATATAAATATACAATGTATTTTTTTTTTTTTTTCTTATTTTGTATTTATTAGTGTGCCTTAGGGTTCTAATAAAAGTAATTTCATTGTTACACAATGACAATAAAGTGCTCAAATCTTGAAGCAGAATGAAATAAGCAATATTCCCTAAATTAATTTTTGGACTGCAGGAAATTAAATGTAGTCCACCAAAGCTACAAAACAACCAGCCAACTACAACTAGTAATTAAGACTATGAATCTCAAGCCAAAGTCTACCAACACGACGCTCCTTATAAAGAACACTGTGCTTGAGCCATTCATAAGGGGCCAGAAACAATTTGCTACTTTCAGCAAACACCATAAATGACATGGTGCAAAAATATTTGTGTCACTCAGCAATTGTTAGCATTAAGAATATGATAAACTGACCAGTCATGTGATATTTAAAATGAAATATACTTCCATTAAGCGCAGGTGCCAAATAGATAGTCTTAAGGATATTTTTGAATTGCAAGCATAATTATTATTTAGTTTAACTTGCAATTCAGCCACCATCACTCTTTTCAGCATTTAGCCTATTTTTTTGAAGACGAGGGTATTTACTGACCCAAAAAAAAAATTACAACTCATTTCTTTACTTACCTTGGCCACCATGACCACCACAAAGTTTTTTTCATCAATCTTGTACTCCTTTAGTGCGGTGTCATCATTAAGGATTTTGCCTCAAAAGAACCAAAAATAAAACCAAAAATTAAAATGAACACATACTCATAAACCAAAACATATTAGCCAAAGCAACAGACTTTTAGTTGGACACCACTACTGGGTAAGAAGAAAAAATGTAGCTAAGACATTCAGCAAATAATTAATGAGTGCGATCAATTTTATAATAAGACTTGGTGCCATTTTCTTTGGTCCACTGGAAAAAACAACCTAGAATAAAAATCCCTGACTGCAGATGCTGAAAAAAACCACTGTGGTGGTCAAAATCAAAATCAACATAGTACAATTCAAAAACAGAACTTTGAAAATGTATTACCTGCATATATCAACTTTTGCCCAGCTACTGGGAATCCATCTTTTCCCTTTTCATTCTCAATCTTCTCCTTCAGTGCTTTTACCTGTTAAAAGAGCAACAATTTAAAAAAGGTCAAACAGTGAACTGAAGATTAACGTACAGGACTGTCGTACAGTAGATCCGTCGGCTAGCTAGATAACTTGTTGGATTTAAGGTGCTGCAGTTTATATATGACTTTTATCTTCGCTCCCTTACATTTCCCTCAGACTGGCTTAAATCCAAAAAGTTATCCAGCTAAGCAAGAAATACAGGTCCCAGGTCCTCAAGAGACATGCTAAGAGGTCATTTAATTTATCTTTGTGACACAGAACCTCAATAAGTTCCTTCTAAATAATTGCAAAGCAAATGCAGTTCTCATCATTATGTTTTAAAGAAATTATCAGCAAGACATTTAACAGAAGTTTGGTTAAAGAAACTTAATATAAGAAATTAAATTTGGGGAATAAACAGTGATTTTTCCTGTAAACACTAAAAGTAAACTGCTATATAATACATCTTCCTTACATTTTCAGTTCATTATAGGAGACAAACACACACACAGCATGAAAAACACTGAGAAACTAATTTGCCCAAGTGTCAAGTCTAGGACTGCTGGGTAAGCCCCAAGGCAGAATACACAAACTCCACACTCAGAGGTAAGGACCGAAATCAAAACCCCAGCCCTGGGCATCAGAGGCCACGGTGATGTGCCATCCTGCAGGGAATATTATGCTAAATGTATTTGCTAAAACAGTGATATGTATATGGACCAGGTACAGCAAACATGATTTAATTACAAGTGTCAATTATTAATCTAAAACATAACGTACCAAAAAACCTTTGTACCTTATGAAATTTAAATTGATTTGATTAAATTCTACATAGGAAACTGAAAACTGCATGGCAGGTTTACCAAACATATTCATATGATCAGAATGGATAAATATTAGCTTAAAAAACTAGTCAGCTATATAAACAGCTACTTACTAGTATCCACAGCCAAGACCCAGATGCCTACCCTATGATTAGTTTAGAGCAGATGTCACAAGTATTTGTGTGCATGCTCTAGTTTCATGTTTTTGTCTGTATACTCAAACCACTTGGTTTAGAAGTTACAAAACTTAGGGAGAGAGTGGATGAAAGATACTGCAGCACCATAATGTTGAGGGGATTGAGATAAAAGGCAAATCATGTGACGGTCAATCAAAGGCATGAGCAAGAAGCTTCACGAAAGTCTGATACAGTTCACAGCTAAAAATACTTAGGGTCAAGACACCGCTTAAAATGCAATTCTGTGACAATGAGAAGTAAACAAGAGGCAGTGGTCTGTTGAATGAATGGTAGGTATCTCATGTGCTCAGAGGAACTGTCATCATCCACTGTTCACAATAGGCAGATTTTAATACAAAATGGCAGTTTCAGTCACCATATCTCACCCACACCGAAAGTGGGCTAGTATATTTTGAACTTTGCTGTAATAGCTAGTAAACAAAAATGAGGTTTTGATGATGTTTTTTGAGAAGGAATCTTTGACTGAGCCTCAAATCCTTTAAGCCAAGTAAGGGACAAGGGGAATGTAACAGCTCAGTAGGGAAAGGAGAGGGCTGCCAACTTTGCCAAGAAAAGGCTACAGGCAGCTCTCTGGCCACTTATCCTGCTGTGAGACTTACTCCTAGCATAAGCACCGGTGTTTCAGCAGTATAATGCCCATGCAGTCCATCAGCAGCCTTATGAACAAGGGCTCTAAGAAGGGACAACTTAGGCCATCAGAGCCAGGGCCAAGCCAGATTTAAAAGACAGTGACTCACTTTCAATATAGTTAACACAAAATATACTGAAGGGATTGAAGGAACTATTTCTAAAACTGTAAGACTCCCCTTCATTCTGGAAATACTGCCTGACATTCATTCGACAAAACAAAAAAAAGAAAATATTGAAATGGCAATTTTCTGCAGGGACTTAATATAGTACATCATAGTACATCAGCTCTAAAAGCTCACGTTTAATGTTTAACTCTTTGTGAATTTTGCAATTGATCAGACCCGCAGCCCATTCTTCGGAATAACTATAATAGTAAGAAGTTTGCGCATTCCCTCTATCACCTACCAACCGCTTATCCTTATCAAGGTATTACAGAGCATGTGAGTATTACAACGTTAAGGAAGCCGCTCCCAAGTCAGGGAGTCTCATAAGTGCAAAATAACCATACATCACAAACTCATAGACTGCACACTAAACAATGTAAATATTTTCAAGATTACACAGCAACCTGTGTATCGGAAATTATGCATTACTGACTGTTTTTTGTACTGTTAAGTAGTATTACAGTAGCATTAGCAATGTAGCAATCAAGCTAACAATGTAGCATTAAACAGTCCAGTATGACCTATCAAAATTTCACACTCAGTCATTAGGCCGCAGCAGCTAACAAACTACTCAGAAACAACAACAAAATTTACAAAGAGTAAAATCAGTGACAAAAACTGTTAAAAAGACTATCCCCACGGAATGCTAATTAGCTACTTAGCTTGCTAACTTTCATTTAGAGAGCTAGCATTATTTCAGGTTGCGCACCGTGGTAGCAAAGTTACTCTATCAGGTTCACTAATGTCGTAAAATAGTTAAAAACACAGTTTGGGAAAGTAACCCGACGCCCGAAAGGAAAAATACACATTTCTGTTAACTTTTGCCAATTTTCGCGGGGAGTCCCATCCACCCTCCTGAAACCACGCATGATACTCCCGTCTCCTCTCACCGTCTCCTCTCCGTCAATGTCGATCTTAAACGTCTGCTGCTGTAGGGTTTTCAAAGTGATCTGCATCTTGGCCACGACGGGGTTAGCTAAAATCTAAGAACTCTCTCCTCCTACACGTCTCGTATAAAACTCCTAGTTACAGTGTGCTGACAATTTTCGCTCACTTCACAGACAATCCTCCGCCATTACTGTCTTTTTCTGAACTCATAAACAAACCTATCATGACTCAAGCGACTACGCACGCGCAGAACGACGGAACTTTCTGCGCCTGCGCTTAAAATACAACGCGGTGTTCCGTAGGATTTTCCCACAATCCTTCTGACACTACGGTTGTATCCAAGTTCGCCCCCATTCGGCATGTACCAATGACGGACTGTCGGCTTCCAGCGGAGATTCGGGCTTCTCCCAGTTTTCCTCGTAATACTTTACCAGCTTCCCTAACGATTTGCACGTGCATGTGAACTGCGCTATGTTGAGAGAGATCTCAATATGTGGTTAGCGATATTTTCCGAGTAATCGTCTCTAAATTAGCATCATCCTTCCAGTCTTCCAGAAAAACCTATTTGTCTTCCAATTATTTGCAATTCCGTAGAAATGTAATTTTGACTTAAAATGAAGCTGTACATAGTATCTAATAAATAACAGATTAATGTGAGACTACTGCTGAAGGCAACAGACAGTACGTAACTGAACATGTTTTTGTACTTTTAGCCACCAGACCACTCATGCAGGAATATGTGTGATACTAAGTTATTAAAATATTGGGACTGATTTTATGGAAGACTGCATTATCAGAAGATTCAATACAATGCAATTTAGAAGAAAATCTAACCATTAGGGCAGAAATTGATGATCAGTGACAAATATGGGCTTCAAAGTTTCTGATTTAATAAATAAAATAAATCCAGTTAAAACAGAGGATCCGTGTCTTCTAGCATAAATTTCGCTGGTTCTGTTACATTCACACACACACAAATATATATATATACAGGGACGGATTATGGGTTGTGTGGGCCCCTGGGCAAATTGTTTGCGAGGGCCCCCCCCACCACAACCACCACAATTCAAGGGCCCTTGGCAGCCAAACGCCCTCCCTCCATGTTTCCATCAGAGGCCCTATAGGGTCAGGGGCCCTTGTAGGCAGAGGATCAAAGAATGTAGGCCCTCTAAAATAGACAAACGAAAATACATTGTTGATAAGCGTTGCAAATTGTTTTGGGCTAGGGGCCCCACGGGCCCCCTGCACCCCAAGGGCCCCTGGGCAGCGGCCCCGCTGGCCCGGTCCGTAATCCGTCCCTGTATATATATATATATATATATATATATATATATATATATATATATATATACACACTCACCTAAAGGATTATTAGGAACACCATACTAATACGGTGTTTGACCCCCTTTCGCCTTCAGAACTGCCTTAATACTACGTGGCATTGATTCAACAAGGTGCTGAAAGCATTCTTTAGAAATGTTGGCCCATATTGATAGGATAGCATCTTGCAGTTGATGGAGATTTGTGGGATGCACATCCAGGGCACGAAGCTCCCGTTCCACCACATCCCAAAGATGGTGTTTCATTCAGACCCATTGCCACATGTGTATAAGATTGAGCACTTAGCCATGCAGTCATGTTTACAAACATTTGTGAATTAATGGGTTGTTCTGAAGATGTCAGTGAATTCAAGAATGGTACCGTCATAGGATGTCACCTTTGCAATAAGTCATTTTGTGAAATTTCTTGCCTGCTAGATATTCCCTAGTCAATTGTAAGTGGTATTATTATGAACTGGAAGTGTTTAGCAACAACAGAAATTCAGCCTCAGAGTGGCAGACCATGTAGAGTAACAGCGGGGTTACTGAGCACTGAGGCACACAGTGCGTAAAAGTCACCACCGCTCTGTTGACTCAATAAATGCAGGGTTCCAAACTTCCTCTGGCATTAACTCCAGCACAAAAACTCTGTGCCAGGAGCCTCATGGAATGGGCTTCCATGGCCTAGTAGCTGCATACAAGCTTCACATCACCAAGCTCAATGCCAAGCATCAGATGGAGTGGTGTAAAGCACACCACCACTGGGCTCTGTAGCAGTGGAAACATGCTCTGTGGAGTGACGAATCACGCTTCTCTGTCTTGCAGTCTGTGGACAAGTCTGGGTTTGGTGGATGCCAGGAGAATGTTACCTGCCTGACTGCATTGTGCCAACTGTAAAGTTTGATGGAGGAATGATAATGATGGGTTATTTTTCAGGGGTTGGTCTTGACCCCTGAGTTACGGTGTAGGGAACTCTTAATGCTTCAGCATACCAAGACATTTCGGACAATTCTATGCTAGGTTGCAGATTGTTGGCTCTGTCCCAGCACGCACAAGGTTGCTGGTTTGGATCCTGTGAATGCCAGCAGTGATCCTACTCCGTTGGGCCCTTGAGCAAGGCCCTTATAACCTGCAATTGCTTCATCCTGAGTATGACGTTAATCTACATTCTAATCCTGTAAAGTCCTCCAACTTACTGGGCAATTCCGGGGGTTGGAAGCAGGATTGGCACTCCAGCCACTGGAAAAACTCACACTGGAATATTTCGACTGGTGTTGTGCTGAGGTATCACCCACTGTACAGCTGCACTCTGGTTCTCATCCCTGAGGTAGTTTGTTATGTGGTGGGTGCAGCAACACACTGTAATCAGCATGTGCTCCTTACCTTTCCCTATGCTTCCATCATTTTGGGGACAGTTTGGGGAAGGCCCTTTTCTGTTCCAGCATGACTGTGCCCCAGTGCATCAAGCAAGGTCTATAAAGACATGGTTGGGTGAGTTTGGTGTGGAAGAATTTGACTGGCCTGCACAGAGCCCTGACCTCAACCCCATCAAACACCTTTGGGATGAAATAGAACAGAGATTGCGAGCCAGGCCTTCACGTCTGACATCAGTGCCAGAGAATGCTCTTCTGGATCAATGGGCAAAAATTCCTACAAACAAACTCCAAAATCTTGTGGAAAGACTACTCTGAAGAGTGGCAGCTGTTATAGCTGCAAAAGGGGGACCAGCTCCATATTGATGCATATGGATTTAGAATGGGATGCCAGAAAAGTTCATGTAGGTGTAATGGTCAGGTGTCTCAATATTTTGTTTGTTTGTCGCCATGTGTTTGTTACCAAGGAACATTGTTTCAAATTGTATTTTACTGCGCTTCTTGATATTTTTATTTGATCCTCTGCAAACCGATGGTCCCTAAGTCTCCTGGATCAGCTCTGTACACCGTGGGAACATCTTCTGCATTTATTACTGCAGTACATCTTTGGGAATATGTCTCTATCTACTTTGCACACCTGGATTTTGCAATTTTATCCCACTCTTTCTTGCAAAAAAATGTCAATCTCCTTCAAATTGCCAGGGGATCTCCAGTACACAGCCTGCTTTAGGTCATTCCACAGGTTTTCTGGGGATTGAAGTCCAGGCTCTGAATGGGCCATTCCCACTTTGATCTTCCTTTTCTGAAGCCCTTCCTGGGCTGACTTGGGTGTATGCTTTGGGTCATTATCGTGTTGAATACAGTTTTCATTCTTTAACACAGATAAAATAATGCAGAAAACCACAGAGAACAGGAGGAAAAAATTCTCTTTATTCACAGAAGGTATTGCCACAAAGCATAATATCCACAAGTGCAACTGACTAGATATCAAATTTACTTTATTACAAATTATCACAAAAATATAGAAATGCAAGAGAAGTTTAATATGTATATCTATTTATATAATGCTGGAACGTTGTAATAAGACAAGAATACAGTACTTATAATTTATATGGGTGTGAATGCAATAACATAGTATGGTTTATGATAAATTTATATGGAAAACAATGAATACTTTTCTATGCACTTTTCAAAACTGGAAATGTATACCTGCAGAGAAATGTAACTTCCAAACTAAATTCAGTATTCACTAAATTACAATATTCAGTTGTAATACAGATTGTTTTAAGCAACAGTACTACAGAATGGAAGAGCAAAAATAGGAGCAGATGACTCATTGTGCAGGGATGTTTTTGACCCTCTGCAGTAGTAGATGGGATCTTGAGGGTGTCTGATTTTTTTTATTTAGAATGTGACTTCAAACATCATATGCTGATGCATACCTCAAAAGACAGAAATAAATGGTATTATTTCCATGACACTGGGAACAGAGTTACATCTGCAGTAGTTATAAATGCACTGTTAAAGGCAAATCCTAGTGAACTAATTATTTATGAAATGTTTAAATTATATTTAAGTAAATTTGAATAGGAAAATGCATTAGTTTTGAAATGACTCTGGAATGTTACTCAGAGTGCTTGCCTCTCAGGGTTAGGCTTTTGTTTGCACTTAATAGTAATTCCTATATATGTTTTTAGTAGCACTTTCCTGATGGTTTAAAATGGGTTTTTAGACAATCCAGCTGGTCTGCATTACTCACATGTGAATGCATGTCAACAGGCTGCCTCAGTATCAAGCACCTTCCCTGTTTGCTTATTCACCCTGAGATGGCAGCATCTTAAATGAAACAAAGATATAAATCAGTGTTAGGATTAAGGGGAAATGCTTACATTTTATGACTTTCAGCACTGTACTATGACAATGTCTACAGATGATTACAATACAACCCGTTTTACCCGTTTAAGGTAAACATTACACCAGATTCTTTTATAGATCAAATAATGTATATTATGCTAAATTTCTAATTAAATTATATTAAACATTTTGAACTGTTGAAATAAATTGGTATGTTTTTTTTTTTTTTTTTTTTACATATAAATGCTTTATTTATTGCCTCAAAATATTATGTAAAGTATTTATCCTCATAACATATCAATGAATGATGAAACACTGTGCAAGATGCTGCAGATAAAATGATAGCTTTTCCTTTGTCTTCTGTTGAATATAATTGTGTTCTTGCTATTCTCTGCTTTGGTGGATTTCATCATTTGAATTACACCACAAAACAAAATCTGTTATGAGTGCAATTAAATATTTAATGACATCGATAGGAACAGGAATATCTGATTAGTATGCAATTGTATGTTATTTTGATATTTAAATCATACAAGAGACAGTAACAGTTTTAGTCATATATTCTTGCAATTTACCAGTGAATTGTAGAAAAAAAGGAGTCTCAGTTGTGGTAAAAGGTGTTGAAACAACTTGCAGATAGATAGATAGATAGATAGATAGATAGATAGATAGATAGATAGATAGATAGATGATAGATAGATAGATAG